GGACACTAGCAGTTAGCAACATTGCTTGAGCCATGGCTTTTTCGTGTGATGATTTTGCAAATGTTCAATGAATTTTTTTTCCTCTGAATACAATGTGATAAAGTACCTTTATAGTGAGTGACTAATATAAGTGAAGGTGTGTGTCTGTGAAAGGTTTTAAATCAGGAGATGAGGATAGGATACCAAAGTTGTGAAAGGTGAATAAGGTGACCACGTCCCTATGTATAATTTATGCTCTTTGAGGCATGGCCTGTGTTTGGGCTGTCTGTGTTCATACACACACATCATATGGACTAAAGACTAAAGCAAAATCAATTAAAATCAGATTATCTTCTAACCATACACATATTTTTCACATACAGTGGTTTTTTTTTTTTTTTTTTTTTTTGTTATAGAAGAAATGAGGTTTATCAAATAGATTGCTAGAAATTATTCAAACACATTTTATTGGACAAAATTTGGAGGAGAATTTCGAAAGACTTAAGGAGATTGGTGAATTTTGCATTCTGACCTAAGTTAAGTTATGCACAACCTTATTGGTTTTTTTTTTTTTTTAGTAATCCAATTTACATTAATAAATATGTTGATCTAATATATCAAACAAAGCGGTTGTTAATTAAGATGGATAATAAGTTGGCAATTACCCTAAACAATTACAAGTTCTAGCAAAGCCGATCAACCTTCCTATCAATTTATCCATCTTAATTATTCATTTCTATCTTCACAATTGTTGAATATTAAATTGCATATAAATAACAAGCGTTCCATGAATTCCTTATCTGTTGTTGAGGTCAACAGTAATTAATCCTATCAAAGCAACTAACGTAACTATATATTAAAATAAAAAAAGTTTGAATGGAAGAAAATAGTCTGCTGGTTAAATGGCTCCAATTTGTTAATTGACCATCAATAATCAGAATTATCAGCTATTACTTTTGCATATAGCTTGACCTTGGAGTGATTGCATGACAATAATAGATCGGATGAACTTGACATATATAAGCTTGTCTTATTGATTAAACAGGTTTTTGGGTCAATTAACGAGTTGGGATTACATTTTAACCCAAAACTCTTGCCTTATAAATGTCAATTAAGGGTGCTTTCAAAATATTTAGGGAGAATTTACATGTTCATTATCAAAATTAATAACTTCAGAAGTGAAAGAAAGAAACTAGTTAGTCTTCTTCTTTGTCTTGATGGACCGATGCAGCTTTGATAGTCTTATTTGTTTGTATTTTCTAACTATTGCCAGAAACAAGTCGGACCTACCTTATTCTACAGCTGGCATCTTGTGGAATGCTGCCGCTCAGAAAAACAAATTTTTTTTTTTTAAAAAAGTGGAATCTAGAAAATTCTTGAAACTTCACATAGAATTTTGTCATGGCACCAGAAAAAATACAAATAGAAACCCCACATAGAGGTTTCTGTGCGTGGCACATATCAAAGTGGTCAAAAATCATTTTCTATGGTATAGACCTATGATACGTGGAATATGCAGAGAATCAGGAGGTAGTGTAAAACATTTTCTTGGGTTATAATTCACTGGACAATTAAGAGCCCATTTCGATTGTATTTTTTTGGAAAATTTTTGAAGAAAAATTACAGTGAGTACCAGTGGCGGAGCCACATGGAAGCAAGCGGAGTCAATTGACCCCACTTAACTTTGAAAAAAAATTAGGATGTGTTTGGATTGCATTTTCCGTCATTTTTCATGGAAAAAATACTGTAGCGATTTGATATATGTGAGGGAAAAAGGTGATAGGAAAATGTGATCACGGAAAACGACAATATTTTCCGACGGAAACAAACAATCCAAACATAGTTTTTAGGGTTAGAAAATTTTAAAGTCACATTTTATTTGACCTCATTAAATTTTAACAAATTCTCTTTTCTATATATATTGACCACCAAACGATTGAAAATTCATAATTGTTACTATCACATGAATTTTGAATTTATTTCAAATTATTTATGAAAGTTATTTCAAGAATAAATTCTTCCAAATTTTCCAAAAACAAGGAATAAGCTTTCTTGAGTGGAGTGGTAAAGCCAATTCTTTCTAATGCACACTTCCAAATAGGGATGGCAACGGGGCGGGGGACCCCTCCCCCATCTCTCGCCCCGCTGCCTACAAACTCCTCCCGCCCCCGCCCCATCCCCCGTCCCCCGCTCCCCCCGCCCCGTCCCGCTTCCCTCGCGGGGCTAATAAAAATTTGTTATATAATTTTATTATAGTTAAATTTTAGCAAATAATCAAGTACTAAAATATTAACATATCATCAAATTATTATTCATTGTAATTTGATAATTGAAACTTATAAAAACAATCAAACAAAAATTATTTGAATACAATCCAACATGATGAAATAAATATAACTAAAGTAGTCAAGTTTTCACTTTTGGTACAAATACAATCACTAATTCATTACTGTGCTTGTGCTTTTTTTAAGAAAAAAAAATATTATTGTATTAAGTGTAATTAGGGATTTAGTATAAATGTATTAGTAAATTTAGTATAACCAATTAATAATTTGTATTAGTACACATATATAATTATTAGTATAATTAATAATATCAATTATATTATATATACTAATAGACATCATATAATACATATAACTAATAATATCATTATCATAAGTTTGTAACTAATTAAATTATATATTATATATAATTATATACCTATATATATTTTATATATTTATTTTTTTAAATCGGGTGGCGGGGTGGGGGTTGGGGCAGGGGTACACTCCCCCACCCCCGTCCCGTTTCTAAGCCGGGGGGGGGGGGGAATTCCCCCTGCCCCCGCCCCAACCCCCTCCCCATTAGCCCCCCGCGGGGCGGGTGCCCGCGGTCGCCTGCCCCCATTGCCATCCCTACTCTCAAAGTTTCCAAAAACAAGGAATAAACTTTCTTGAATGAAGTGGTAAAACCAATTTAAAAGTTTTCAAAAACAAGAAATTTTCAAGTGGATGCTAAATTTTCTATTTATGTTATGAAGTTAGGTTATTATGATTTTTATTTATAACAGACTAAAGATAAGTTTCTTAAAAGAAACCCTTAGAAGATCAAGTTGATGATAGTTCGCAAAATGTTTAAAAGAAAACATCAAGAACTTCATTTACTCACATTGAAAATGATGTATTTAACAAAATTGATAATTAATTGATTTTGCAATGTTTTTATAAGATGAGTACTTGTAGGTCAATGAAAATTGATATTATTAAAAAAAAATAGAGTACTTATAGGGTACAATTATAAATGTTTTGCAAATTTATTATTTTTAGTACATGTTTAACCTATCATTAGGATAGTATTGTAAATCAAATCATACTGGATGATTTCTAGCAATTTGTCAATGAAACTTTCTTTTTATCCCCAAAAAAAATCTGTAAGGATTTTTTACTTTTTATTCTTATATTTTGATTTTTGCTTTGTAAAAGTTTTAATGTATTATAAAAAAAATAAGTTTTTTGTACTAATGTATTATAAAATAAGTTTAATGTAAGGATTTTTTACTTTTTATTCTTATATTTTGATTTTTGCTTTGTAAAAGTTTTAATGTATTATAAAAAAAATAAGTATTTTGTACTAAAATTTGACCCCACTTACTATGGAGTCTTGGCTCCACCACTGATTGTAACATTTTTTTTATATAAATATGATGTATATAAGATAAAAAGATATATGGCTCAAAAAGATGAAAAAAAGTTTTTCAATTTTTCACGAGGCAATAGTAAGGGAGGTGGAAGAATACAGACGCATTTTCGTCTACTTTCAATCTTCAGTTTCGGTTTATTTATTATTGTTTCGATTGGAATCGGATGTAGCTTCAGTAGTCAGACTAATCTTGTGCAAAGCGCTGGAAAAAGAATGGTGCAATGTCCGAATACAACTCCAAAACAAGGAAGTGCTGAGACAAATCAAGCATGGTAAATCATCGAATGGCAGACTGGCAACGATCCTAGAGGATATCTTTTGCTTAATGTCATTGTTTCGAATGTGCTCTTTTTACTAGATAGTAATGATAATAGTAACACTATTGCTAATGTTAGCTCATATGCCTTAGGCATTTTGATGGATGAGGAAGGATCTTTTCCTCTGTGTTGCTGAACACAAGTTGTACAGCTTGACGAGCCGTTGCTCGAATTGTAAAGTCATCTTTTAGATCAATACAAGTAATCTAACGTTTCGAGAAAAAAAAAAGTGATAGTGCCCAAATTGGGGGATAATGAGTTTTGGGTAATAGAAGACCCAAAAGTGGGTGCTGAACAAACTCATAGTAGTACATCAAACAATATCAGTAGGTGTCATTACCCTCTCAATTCCACTGAGGAGTTAAAAACAAAAAAAAAACCCAACCAATTGGGTGGTTAGAACAACTAGCAAAAGTCACAAACATGTTATATTAATTACAACTTGGTGCATTAAGTACAAAAGAAAGTCAAACAACACGTGCTTCGACGTAGACTAATTTTAGCACACTTCATTGTGATTAACTACCGTCGCACATCAAAGAAGTTAACTTTCTCCCTACATAAGTTGGCTCAATTAGCAAGCACATATCACTTTTTCCAAAAGATAGTATGTTCAAATCCCATCGATGTGAGAGCTGTGTTAGTGGACGATCTATAAAAATCTCTATAAGTGATCTATTATCATGGATTACTTAATTTCCTATAAGCACACACGCCGTGCGAAACTAGCATGGCATTCAAGAGTTTTACAAATGCAATACAAGTTTTTCTTAGTCTCCGATACAACTAGCATGACAAGTTGCTCATTATTATACTATAACTAGTCCATCATATGTTACATCACACATTCTTATTCTAGTAAGACTAGGGAATTACTTTCCGTGCGAGGCGTGGGAGTGATAGACTTGTTGAGAAGGCAAATTTGTCTGTTGATTGTGTAGTGAATATTTTCTATTGAATCATATCTTTAGGCTAACATTTTATACCGAATAATAACTATAGCAATGCGATGCGATGCGAAGACACACTAAAAGCCATAAATCAATATATCATGATGTATGCTCCATAGAGAGTCATAGATTACAAATACACAGAACTCGATACTTAACCTAATATAGGATACTTGGTATATTGATGCAGAAAAATGAAAATAAACATCGTCAGTGAGTTGATTAACCAAAGTCCAAGTTAAATGGACTTGCCTACAATAAACCAAATACACAATTTGAACACTTAAAATAAGACATAAATAGGGAATATAACTTGAACTAACTACAGAGGCCGTAAACCTCAAAAGATTGATATTCGAAGTTATATATATACTTTTATATAATAAAAGTCTATTGCTAATTTGTGGTAGCAATTAAGCCGCTGCTAGGATGTCCAAAATAAGAGCGATTAAGCAGTTGCTGTGAGATCGAAGTAAGAGAGTCATGCTGCTTATCTCGACAAAGAAGTTGGAAACTTGGGAAGGCCACTGAGCAAGGTCTTTTATAGGAGCCCCGAAAGTAAGAAATTATTTTATTCTCATTAGTAAACATCTTGAAACAAAAAAAAAAACACATCAACAATAAAGTCCACTAAAGGAATAGTTCCTTCATCAAGTACTAAGTACAATTTTTTTTTTCCTTTTTATGAAGTACCAATTAGAACTTATTGTAGCATAAGAGAACAAATGGCTGGCTTCCATGTTATGTTGTAAAATTTGAAGCTTCAATTCTCTAAACTAAACTACTAAAACTCAAGATATGCAAACAGAAGGACTATCATTAGCATATATTGTTGTCTTCTATATGTGCTTAAAACGAAACCAAAACAGCAAAGGATAGCAATAAAGACCAATTTAGGCTCTGTCTTCTTTAAAAATGTAAATCAGCATAACTAAAGATTTTGCTAATTTTTTACTACATGTTGACATCATCTCTCTTCTGATCTACCATAGTGCAGATTATCCTAACGTGAATGTTGAAGATCCTGCAATTTTTCAAAACTGATATTTGCACGTACTAAAATGCTATCAAAATCCTCCAACCCAGCCAACAAAGCATAGTTGATATTTGAAGTTGACCAGAAGTTGTAGTGTCAAAGCCTAAAGTGCCTCAGAGATGTTCATGCGATACCCATTGAAGCACAACATTATAGAATCAGGTAATTAAAGAGAAGTCCATGTCCATGTGTAGAACTAGAGAAACTAATATAATAAAAACAATTGCAAAATGATTGAAGAGTGAGATATGTTAAAGTTATTATTCCCCCAGTTAGGATCCATCCATTGAATAATTCCCTTCCAAAGAAGCAAGGTATTGAACTTAGTAGTGCTTATCTGTGCCAAAAATTAATCAGTGTATGACCAACACCAACTTTCTAAAACCAAAATTGAATCAGAAACCAAATTATATTAAACAATTCATGATTGACTGCAGATTCTACTTATTGAGCCCAAAACAAGTGGAAAATTATAACCAAAATAGTAGGAGCTAGGAAAATATTCTTTAACTGGTCTTTGGTCGTAACCACGATAGTCACTAATAAGACAAATGCAGTAAAAGTCAAAAATTATGTTTCATAACAGATAATTGCTGCATAAAATTTCTTGGTTCCTTTTGGATTAATGAAATAGATGTTTCTAGGTCTATCAACGTATTGTTTCCAATGGCATTCATCCACCAATAAATCAACATACCACAAGACTGAAACAAAAGCAATCAAGTAATTAAAAAATACAGAGAAGGTACAAGCAATGATCAATCAGGCTCAGGTTTGTAAAAAGAGGAGACAAAATGGAGGGAGGCACCACCGTGGCTGCAAATTCCTAGTTACATATGCAAATGCGTCCCATCTCATCCCACATGCAATCTAGGTTGTCGAGCCAAGAAATGGGCTCCAATTGACCTCTATGCATTTCCCCATCAATAACTCAAGAAAAGATTTTCATTGTCATTGCCTAGAAATATACACAAACCTCAATGCCCAAAAGCAAAAAGGCATCAGTAAATATGATTATACAACAAAGCAGCAGTAGAAAGAAAGAATTAAGTTGGTGATGAAGCAAGTATTGCTATCTCAGCAGATTTTTCAGAAATAATCTCCAATCCAAACGAGCCTTATTTGATAACATTTCCAGTTTTTTTATTTCTACAAAGGGTTGTTAATTTCTTTCTTTTTTAAAAAAATAGTTGAAATCATAGGAATGAAAACAGAGAGCAGCAATACTTTGAAATCAAAGAATGTTTTCTAGCAGTCGGCTTTAGAAGGCAATGTATTTGACTTGTTATTATGAAACCAGTGCTTGAATCCTCTCAAGTATTCATTTACCTATATGAATGTACATCAGAATAACAATAGCAAGTACCAGAATAAGAAAACACACAAAACTATTTGAAAAGGTAAAATTGAACTGAATACCCCTCTCTTAGCTCTATCGCTCTTAGTCAAATGACACAAATGTCTAGTTTAAATGATATCGCAGATTGAGGCTTCTTAGGGGCTGACAAGTATGGCCACTAAAAAAATCAAAATGCCAACCCAAAAACGTGTTTACTAAAATTCAAACTAATATAGAAAACATTAGCATCTAAATGAAATGAGGTGAATACTACAAGCTTAGAACATGAGTTTAGGAGTTGAAGCAGCCTACATACCATATTCATGAGGAGGAGCATCATAATCATAGCTAGTGGCAATAAATGGTCCACCGGCAATCCTGCAAAGTTTGTTCCTCCGTGATATTGCCATAAAAACAAGAAACTAAGAAGACAATCACAACTTCAGTTATTTTGTAGGAATTTGAGCAAGAATAATTTTTAAAGCACTAAACTTTACATGTAATAGCTAATACCAAAAGCCATTTTTACAATAAATTTTGCAATAGAAAATGCCAAGTTTTTAGCCGAAAGGTAAGGTACCACACCTTTGAATTTAGTAAACCTACAAAAGAACAGACCAAAATAGAGTCGCATTCCTATTTAAAACTCCAAGATTTATGTGTAACTCCTTACAAAAAAGCAATAACTCACCAGCTAGTCTAGGCTTCTGTCCACATCTTAGCTTTATAAGCCTTATTTGGGGAGTAGCAATCACAGTAGAAGCCATTGAATGTATTTATTCGGGCAGAAGTACAATAGACATACTATAAGGATATTTATTATTCACTGCTTCTTGAACATACTATAAGGACGTATAAAAGTACAAGCTACACTTGTGCTGACATGATACAACATGAAAAATCTTATTTTATACATATCGTACTATTTAAATAAATAATCCCCATTAATTTTGGATTTCACATCATCTGCATCCTAAATGAAACATAAACTGAACTCAATGCTAAGCATATAAACTCATAGGAAATGTCTAATATGTCCTTGCACAGTTCTACTGCGCACCTTCAACATCCTTAAAATGAAAAGACCATCCTCAAGATGCATAACAAACAAAGAAAAACCAGCACAAAAATAGGAAGTTAGATATAAGAGACTCTTCCAGTTTAGCATAATTTAACGCAGAATTAATCATATGCAATAAAGCTCATTAAGGGAGAAATAAATTAAAACCAGATATTTCTTCTTCTTTTTTTTCCTTAAAAGAGCTAGTATATGGACATAAGTTCGAGAAGGCAAACTTACAGGTTTGTGAATATGCATATCTGATTAATGAGCATCGCTTTTGACAGAATTACCATTGCAGTTTATAAAAAGTTAGAGGATACCTTTTTAACTGCAACAAATTTTCCAAAATAACAATACTAAAAAGAAAAGTAGAACAAGGACAGTTTACTTGAACAATAAATCTTCTTTTTTGTCTTTTACAAAAAAATAAAAAGGAAGGTGGGAAGGAGAGGTAGAGGGGGAAACATACAGAGCACTTGCTTCAATTCGAGGAAGGTGTGGTCAAAGGAAAATTGAATTGGTAGAATTCAAACAGTAGTATGATGTGATAGAATGCATAATTGAAAATCTCAAATACATAAAAATAAAATACTCATAAAAAGTTGTAAAAAAGAATTCAACTTCCTTAGTCTCACATGGTGAGATTTTCTATATACTCTAACATAGTAAAAGAGTGCGAAAAATATAGTGAAAAAAAATTAAAAAAAAAGAAAAAAGAAATGATGTTCAAATCATTAAACTCCAAAATTTTAAGAAAAACTAAGACTAATATCTACCAAAAGTAGTCCAACTTAATAGCTACAATTTAAGTATTCACGAAGTTGAAATATCCAAACAAAAGAAAGCCAAAGGTTTGCCTCTAAATTTCTTGGTAAAGGTGTTTGATTACTATACCATCAATACTAGAAATTTAGGATTCTAAGCATTAGAAACAAAGAAAACCTGATAGTAGCAAAACCAACAAAATAAATACCTATTCTGCAGGTACAACTTTTCATGGTATGACAATAAAGTAAAAATTTCTTTAGAAACAAGAAACACATATGACCTTGCAAATTTTTCTTGTAGGAGTATATGCTTAAGACGGATATCAAGGTGATGCGTGTACCTTATCAGAAGTAGATGTAAAAGCTTGAAGCAAGCTACTTCCTTCTCCCAAGCTCATTGGGTTCCTGTTTATCTCCTCTTCCATCTCCTGTTTCTTTGCTTCCTTCACGTCCAAAATATCAATAAGGAAAAATATAATTCTTTTTTTTTTCCAAAATCAAGAACATAATCACAAAATCAAGCCCTTTTTGAAAAAAACCAATAAAAAATTAAAAGCCTTTTTCTGCAAGAGGAGAACCCATTGAAAAATTGGAACTTTTTTGTTCAAAAAAGAAACCAACAACAAAATAAAAAATTTGAAAAAATGGAGACCCATAGGCATTAGAAACCACAAAGAAATGAGAAACAAAAATTACACATTACAATCACAGGGGTAGACAAAATTTGTAAGCTAAAAAATAATAGGGAGATTAAAAGGGGTGAGTATCGCACCTCCAAAGGTTGAGGGGAGAAAGGAACCAGATTTCTCGGTCTTTTTTTGTATGTCTCCTACCCTTTTCCTATCTTCCTAGATCCATGCAAGTTGAAATCAAAGAAGGGAGGAAGAAGACTATATAAATTTGCAAGTTCAAAAACATGCTGGCATACACCAAAAATTTGCAAAGAAGCAGAGCTATAGATTGCAACATAAAGAGTGTGACAGCCCCACCTCACCCTAAGGTGAACCAAAGGGTTCGGCGGACCGCCTGCCCAACTCTCGCTAGAACTATGGAGTCGATTCACACAAACCCAACATAGTACGCCCGGAAACTACTAAGGTGAGAACATGCCTACCAAACTATAAAATCATAGTCTCAACGGAATACATTTAATAGACAAGGTTAAACACTTATACATATATTTACATTGAATTCTTGAACAAATTAACAAACAGTGCGATCCGAGGTACTCTTATTACACAAAATACAATTAGGGTTTCGTTTTCAAAAGAGTTTAACAACATGACACATATACTAGCTTGGCCCTTTTCTTCCAAAATTGTGATTTTCAAGTTTGTCCCCTGTAAGGAAAATAAAAGCAACAGAAAGGGGTGAGTTTACGCTCAATAAGGTACCAAACATATAGGGGTAAAATCATGGCCTTTCACGTTTAATCAATCAGATACATATACCAGATATAAAGGAAAGCATTTGGACACAGTGATTCAAAGGGAAATGATACAAGTGGCTCTCAGGAGCCAGATTTCCATTTGTAGTACTTGATCCGAACCCGTTGACTCTCCGTCAACGTAAATAGACCCAACATATTCGTAGACCCCACTTTACACCAATTTTCGTTCACCAAACATACCCTTACCGGACCCGAACTCCATTCAGGAACAGTAATGGTAATACTCGAGTATACCGGAATCAAGAGTCTCAATACCCAAAGATCCCAAAACAGACTACCGTGGTTCGTTATCTAATCGACCAAATCCTTGCCGGCCCGACTTGAGTAACTAGCTATAGGTGTTGAGTTCAGAGGTCACAGAAAGGTCGTTGGATACCAGCCTCCAAACGACGTTCGAACAGATTCAAATACAGTTAACAGATTATACACAGTAAATAGGCATATGGACAGACAAGAGAACGAGTGTGATAAAGTACACCCTCATCTCAAACAGAATAAACAGATAGTGCAGTCATTTAAATCGCAGATTGCAGAGGCAGAAACCAGGTTAAACAACAAATGAGGGGAGTGGTACACTCACCGGTTCAAGTACAGATACTTCAAAAGTTTTCACTTCAAACTGGCTTTAATCGCCAAGAAATTCTAAAATCATCAAAGTAAAACAATTGAAGGTTTCACATCCAAAATCGAGTAAACGGAATGTACGAGTAAGGCTCGACTACATGTCGTACGTCTTTCCAGGTTAAGTACTAGCACAAAAGAATAAAATATGACTTTTGAGCAAAAGATAACAGTTGATCTTAGGGTTACAAACAACCCCAAAACCCTTCATTTGTACTAAGATCAACTCAATTGAAGGAATCAAGTAGCCCTAAAATTTTGGGTAGCATGCCCTCTGTATTTATCTATTTTCCCAACCACTTATGGCTTCATTATTTCCCTCAATCAATCCCAAAGTCATACGCAATATAAATTCATCACAACAGCCATTCAATAGGCTCAAAGTCATTCAAGTACAAAATTTAACTAGGAAAATGACCGGAAATGAGCTTTAAGCTAGGAAACCAAAAAGGCAGATTCACCGCTACTTAGCGTATCGGACCTAACCGAAACCACGCTTATTGGATTGAAGTACAAGTTATACCGTTTCGAAACTAAGACAGAGGGCTATAACTTTGATGATGACCACTCAGTCTAGTTCTCATCCTAACTAGGTCAAAGGTACCAAAACAACCCCAGATTTTCCAGTTCGAAACTCACTGTGAAATTCCACTAGCAGTCCTGATTCATTCAAGCATATCTCAGCACACACAACTCCGATTCAGGTAATTCTAAAGCCATTTGAAAGATAAGATACAAGGCTATAATTCTTAGGAAGACATTGACAACCAAATCAGTAGTATTCCCTGTCAAACTAACCAATTACAGAAGCTGATTATCAGTTTTGGACAAAAACAGGGCAGCAAGGATATTTTGGTTTTTTCACAGGCTACGTTACTCCGATTGGGCTGAAATTTTGCAGGCAACTACAAAACATCATTCTCTACAACTTTTATGTTTTGTGATAAGCCTAATTCGGCCTCTAACATCACAAACTGGAACCGGGCAGAACTGAAGTTTGAATTTCCAGAAATCTGAAATTTGGGCTATTAGTGCATACCACTACTTTTCTTGCTTCATCCTTTCATTGTTTTCCTCTTAACCAACATACCAAGTGTAACTCTAACTAAAATCATGAATCAAAACTTTAACAATTAATCACACACATGGTAGGCCACTTAACCAACCCAACTACCACTTCACTAATTCAAGAGATTTAGCCATAGAAAGCATCCATACAACTTCTAGTTTACCCTCAAACCTTTAAATACTTAATATAACACCATAAAAGCAAGGATTAAAGATCACATACCTCTTTTACAAGTTGATTAAGTCACCCAAAACAACCACCAACCAAAAGCTTCAAGGCTTGAAGATCACACACTAGAGTTGGATGGATTTCACTCACTAACTCACTCCTTCACTTTTGATTTTTTTTCCTAAGATTAAACTAAGAGTAAAAAGCAAGAAAATGGAGTTTCTTCTTCTCCTTTGCTGCTCCAAGATGGCCGGCGAGCTTATGAAGGAAATGGAGCAAAAAAAATGGTTTTAATTCATCAAATTCTTTGGTCAAATAAGTTACATGGTTGGTGTCTTGCCACTTGGCACCATCTTGGCCATTCTCTCACTAATCTTTGCCAAATCATGTTCCTATCCACCAATTCTTTCCCTTATCTTACTAACACCTAGTAAATTAATTCCTGTAAACAAAACTTAAGCTAATTGGCCGAATTTTATCGAACTTACCGCACTAGTGGATCCCACATCCGATATACACTCTTAAAATCTTATAAACTAACTTATACTCGGAAAAAATGATTTCAAAACCATCTTTACTCGTAAAAATTATTTTTGCAATTTTTCGAATAAATAAAATGTGGAAAAGTGTGCAATTAAAAGAAAATAAAACCTAGCAATTAAGAAAATTACGGGTCTCACAAAGAGCCTCCAATCGTTTAGAAAAAGCTTAACAAAACTAAATTTCACAAAAAAAAAATACCAACCTAGAAATCAAATCAGAAGACCAAATGATGAATACGTAAACACAAAATAGAAGAACAAAGAGCTACTGAGAAGAAAACTAAGGATTAAAAGTGTGAATGGTAAAATTACGTCTTTCAAAAGAGCAAATAGAAAATATCTAGATTGTTGAATTATCGAGGTAATATTTCGTTTGCATCGTAAATACATTTTCTAATTCACCTTTTTATATTTTCATTTACTTTTTTATCTTACATACATCACATCACAAAAAGTACTATAATAATTATTTTAAATAATATTTCAAATAATACTCTATCCAAATACAAATGATAAATAGTCTAGCCAAAGAGCATCTCAAAGGACAAAGGTGTAATTAAAGCTTGAACAACACTATTCCTTGATTGAACTTTTCCATCTTATCTAATTAATACATGTATAAACACAAGGAACAACCTCATATACTTCCCTCGTTCAGATGATGCATATAAAGCCCACAATAATCATTCTAGCCAAGAAACATGCAGCTGCCTCTAGTACGCAACGCCACACAAGTAGCAGCCACCGAACTAAAAAGACCAAAACACCCCCGGCAGGAGCTGATAAAAGCTGATGAAAAAGGTGTGAACAGTACCCAAAAACATCTTCTTATAATACTAGGTGGTCTTTCCCGCGCGAAGCGCAGGGAGTGCCTGGGGGCTGTTCGGTTTTGTTGGACATATTACACAAAAAATTGATCATAAATTGAATGGTATGTAAAAGTGAATATTTGAAAGAATTGGGGGCGAAAATCGAAAAGTTAATATGGTGAAAATTTTTATATGATATTATTATTTTTAATGGTACTATTTAATTTTACATAAGAGTTTTAGAAAATAATGGTTTAAAATTGGTGTGATAGTTATTGTTCAAACTTGGGAGGGAATAAAGTAAGTTTTGAAAATGGACTCATGGATTCAATGAACTAAGCAAAAATTGATAGGTTGGAATGTAAAGTTAATATATATATGTATATATGTATGTATGCATGTTTATTTATTTGTGTTGTTAATTGTAAAATGTAGGAATAAATATGTACTGCACTTCACAACTGTAAAAAAATTAAAGTAGTTATTTCAGTTTAAGAAATTATTATTGATGTGGTGGCCTGGTGAGAATTTGTAAGATAAAAGAAGGAACATGGTAGCTACTATGAAATGAGGAGGAAGCTTAAAATGTTAGCTTAAAATATTGTGTTAGCCAAGAATCGGGAATGAATGGTCAAGGGAATGAATTTGTTTGAAGACGTAGTTATCATTATTGTGTGTTAGAAATTTTTGTATAGATATTTGCGAAGCTACAGCTTTTTCTTGCTATATTGTTTTTTGCTAAAGGTGTATTGTCAATGGTTGTTTGTCTTTTTTTTTTTGTAATCTTGGAATCTTTGTTCACATATGTATAGTAGTCTCTTGTTTTTAATTGAGTAGACTTTTTTACAAATTAGACTAGTCAGATGTAATGTGTTTGTGAGAGTTGAAAGTTTTTTATAAGTTTAACCTTGTAAGCAAAGAGTTAGTTTGCTTCTACTTGTGTGGTAAGTTTTGTGTTTGTTTGGTGTTTTGTGAAAATCGAGCATAATCGTGTTCACTTGCCTATTGTGCGGGATCATTATCCAGATTTGGTGAATCAGATGAATCAAATGGCACTTGATAGGGGATGTGTTTCTAACAATGAAAACCTGGAGAATGTTATTATTGATTGTAGGATTCGTGAAGCTGCTTATGTTGTAGTTAGTGGTAAGGAATGAAATATATGAGCTTTTCAAGCGTTTGTATAGGTTTTCTGAGTGGACACCAATTCTTGAACTTGCATTATGTGTTCATGGGAATCTGCCATTTCTGAGGTTGATTGCTAAATGGATGCAAGATGAAGTGCGAGATGAGGAAGAGGCAATTCGCAGTGCTCTGGAGTTTGAAGCTGAGCAACATGAGCAGGGATTTTAATGGTAAGTAGAACACATTAGATATATATATTACAAAGAGTTGGTCTTTGGTAGATTCCACTCCAACCAATTTTAGTTTAGACTGGTTGGCAGTTTATCTACCCTCAAAAGAGCTAGATAGGTACATAAAGTGGTTTTCTTAGTTGTCTTTCACAAAAGTTATTATACATATGTCTAGCGGTGTAGATGGAGTCGATACTACACATGCATTCCATTGATACCAACAGCAGAAATTCTTGTGAGAAGCTTACTGAGATTACTCTTCATCACTTGATTTTGCAGTGCGTTGTTTCTTTGGTGGACTTTCAGTTAGCTTCAGTGAAGTCAGCAAGCAGTCATCCACTCTTGTTTTTGGTTGCTTGGTGTGATTGAGGTTTTTCCAGTGTCTCGTTCATTTTCAATGTGAATTGCTTCTCACTCTTATTCTGTAGCTGTCCCTTCTTTATCCTTTTGTTGAGTACTGGTCCCTGCTGCTCCTGTTAGTCTGTCGCCTTTGTCGTTCAGGCAAATTTTGTGAGCTACTATAGCTGTGTATTTTTGAGTTGCAGAAGCTTCATATCTATAGGGTGCCTTTTTTATGGAGCTGCTAATGGTGTTCTCGCTGATGCATTCTTCTATAGCTTTATAAGGAATATTGTTCTGCATTTGTGTAATATATGTTATTTGGATGGTTTATTGTGTAATAATAAAATAGACTTTGTTTATAAGGGAAGGCGATAGTTATCATGGTTACCTCTGCCTCTTGTTGTTGGATTTCTGAAATTTTATAAGGGAACAACTGTTGAGCATCTTTTCCATATAGATCAAGTGTGATCTTACGGCTCCAGTCCGCAAAGTCAACAGTTATCCTTAGTCTGATGCACATAAGAATAATTTGACCAAATAAATGATAAATTGTTAACAAAGGCATAATTGTTATGCGTGTTACCTTGCTGTAACATAGACATGACGTTGACAGAAGAGACATGTAATTTTATGCTCAGGAGTGGTGCGAATAGATTTGTGGCAGAAAGGGCAAGCATAATACCAGAGTTTTTGACTTCTGTCAAGAAGTTTGGTTGTCCCTTGTACCCAAAATGCTTTCTTTTGTATCAAAGAAGACAGTAGTATTCTATTTAGCTTTTGCAGAAATTTTATTTGGATATTTTTATTGTTTCACTAGCTGCATGTATAAATATTTATGAGTTGGTCTTTACCTGTGGGACAGTTACAATCATGGTTCGAAGTCTCGGCCGAGACCGAGACGACTCGGCCGAGTCGTCACCGTCTCGGCCCCTACCGATACGATACCGTGACGAAACGATACCGAAATACTTGACTCGCCGAGAAATCGGCCGAGTCGTCACCGCGACGGAGTGACTCGACCGAGTCACACCGAATCACTCCTAGTTATCCCGAGTCAAGACGAAAAATCAGCCGAGTCACACCGCGACGGATTGACTTGGCCGTTTCTTTTGCTATTTTTTAATTATTTTTATTTAGCATACTTTTTTATATTATTAACAATTTTTAGAATATTAAATACTTTAAAATTTGCGTCTCACCGAGACCGCGACCGATATGCCGAGACCGATGTGGAACGTTCGGGGCCGCGACCACGACCGCGACCGTGACTTTGAACCATGGTTACAATGGCACCGATATGGGTTATATCTTCTGCGTCCTGTGGTGGAAGAAGTGTCAGTGGGTTCTGATATGTTCTTTCAGTAATCATCCTTGTGATTGCTTCATTATTTTCAGCTGCCCTGTTGTTGTAGTTTAAGTCTTGCTGTCATTATCGTAATTCGCAACTGAAATGTATTTTCTTAATTTATTTAGTACTTACCATTGCCTCAGAGGTGGACCTTTTTCTACTGGTCGGTTGATTAGGATGCAGGAAGCAAATTTTGTTGAAAGAGTCAATAGATAAGAGCATCAATTTTGTTTGCCTAATGAATGTTGTGATGTGAGCATTAGGTATATGGTAATTGTAGATTGAGTATTGAAACTACAATTCTTAGCCTGATTTACCTTCTTGTCGGTAAGAAGTAGTTTCAGATATCTTCTCCCTTTCTTTGATGTCTGAGTTTTTTGCTTGTCAATCACTTGTATATATAGTTGCTGCCCAATTCTTAATTCCAGGAAGTAGCTCGTCAAACATTATGAAGTTCATTGATGAGAATTATTTGGCAATTCTGGTATCAAAAGAGAAATTAGTGAATATAAGCATGTGATGAGTTAAAATTGGAATTCAATGCGTCATGAGTTAATTGCAGTTAATGATAAGCAAATGCTATTGTCAAAAAATAGAAATAAACAAATATGAGGATGTCATCAGTTCAAACTAAGATTCAGGAGCATGTGATGTGACAGGTATCATGAGTTAAGTGTAGATAATAATAAACAAATGCAGTTGGGAAAGTAATAGTATCAAAGCATTGATTAAATATTAAAGCTGTGCTAGTTCCAAAATCTCACTATAAACTATGTTAGCTGTAATATCATCTGAGGTGAGATCAGAAAGAGATGGCTTGATCAAGATTTTCACAGAATTGCTGTTTCTAGCTCTAGAAAGGGCGA